ACCAATCCATGAACACAGTATGTTCTTCCATCTGTTTATGTCTTCCTCTATCTCTTTTTTCAACGTCCTGTAGTTTTCTGAGTAGAGGTCTTTTACTTCTTTAGTTAAGTTTATTCCTAGGTAGCTTAATTTTTTTGGTGCGATGGTAAATGGGATTGTTTTTATAATCTCTCTCTCTGAAAGTTCACTATTGATGTATAGCCAGATAATTCTTTATTTGGGTGTGTGTGAGGGGTGCCATTGTGTAAGATGGTTAGCAGTATCCCTGACCTCTACTCGCTAGATGCCAGTGGCATCCCCAAGTTGTGACAACCAAAACTATCTCCAGACATTTGCCATATGCCCCCTGTGGATCAAAGCAGTCTCAGCTGAGAACCACTGTTCTAATCCAATCACCAAGTGCTTAGTCACTTTATTTTTGAAAGTTCCAAAAGACAACTCTTACCCCAATGATCTGTTTTTTCTAAGTCCTGTTAGAAATGTTATTTTTATTAATATTAAGTTTATCTTCTTAAACAACTGGAAACATATATGACATTAGCTAGTAAATGATTTTTACCCAAGATATGAATTAGCAACTCTGAAATGACTTTATGTGTACTGTTATCCTGGCCCAATTCCTTTGGGTAATATAGAACAAGTACAGTCTTTCTTTTGCAAGTCATTCATTCATGGTCTGCTCACCAAACATATATTGTGTGTCTAGTATGTGATCAATTCTGTTCTAGGTGCTGACGATAGAGCAGTAAATAAAAAATAAAATCCCTGTCCTCATGAAGCTTACGTTTTTAATGTTGTAATGAGACAAGATAAGTAAAATATGTAGGATGTTAGAGAATAAGAGTTAAGAAGAAAATTTTAGCAGATTATTGAGGTGTCTATTTCAGACATGGTGGTCATTTTGGGGGAAAGACCTTAAAGGAGGTGAAGGAGTGAGCCAGGCAGTTGCCAGGCAGAGGAAAAGGCAGGCACATGGGCCCTGAGGCAGAAGCATGCCAGTGGTGCCAAAGAGAAGAGGCAGTGTGGTGCAGTGGTGTGAGTGAAGAGAAGACTAGGAGGGCCAGGTCATACTGGGCATTGTAGGACAAGGTAAGGACTTTGGCTTTTACTTTGAGCAAGATGGGAAGCAGCAACTGGAGGGCTTTGAGAAAAAATATGGTCTCGCTTTTGTTTTAACATGATCACACTGGCTGTTATGTTGAAGACAGATTAAAGGGGACAAAATTAAAAGCAGGACATCAGTCCAGGAGGCTCTGAAGATAATCCAGTCAAGATTTTATGGTTTGGATTCAGGTCATAGTGGAGACAAGTGGCTGCACTGGATACCATATGCAGAGAGAGGCAACAGGATCTGCTCATAGACTGGAAGTGGGGTCAGAGAGAGAGAGGAATATTTGAGATCTCTGGTAGGGCAAGTAGAAGACTAGAGTTGCCACTTAGTAAACTGCAGGATGCAGGAGGAGCAGGTCTTTAAATTTCATTCATTTGTTCAACAATTAGTCAGTACCTTCCATGTACTAGACACTGTGTTAAAACACTAGGGATGAAGAGATAACAAAAATGTAATCTCAGCCTTTAAGCGGTTCACTACCTACTGAAAGATAAAGACAAATATGCAGACTATTAATATACAGTAGAGTAGCATTGAGCCATTCCACTAAGTAGAGGCAGACAGTAACTAAATACTCACAATACCAGGTTAATGGTTCCCTAGTAGCTCTGAAGTCTCAGGTAACAAGGATCCAAAGCCTTCTAAAATCTATCTCCTACTCACCTCTACAATCTTATTGCTCATGTTCCTATACTCACTTCACTCATTAACTAAGAGAACTCACTGTTCTAAACATAGTCCTGGATTTTCTCAATTCTCTGTCATTCCCTTCATCAGGAAACTGTCATTATTCATCTATAAATGTTACTAATTAAGCCTAACCCTAATAAGGCTTAATTCAAGAGCCATTGGTTTGTATAAGATACCACGCTCCCCCCTGCCTGGCCAATGTTGCTCAGCGGTTGGGTATCAACCTATGAACCAGGAGGTCACGGTGTGATTCTGATCAAGGGCACGTGCCCAGGTTGTAGGCTCGATCCCCAGTAGGGGATGAGTAGGTGGCAACCAATCGATGATTCTCTTTCATCACTGATGTTTCCATCTCTTTCTCCCTCTCTGAAATTAATAAAAAAAATATATATGCATATTCTTAAAAAGATACCTCCCTCTCCCCACAGCCAAAAGTGACCTTTCATCCTGCTATGAACCCTTTAAAGCATCAACAACTATTATGATACAAACTACCTAGGGCTGTGCAATAAATACCTTTGTCACATTTGACTAAATGCTTTCATACTCAGGGTGGGCTTCATGGGTGTGCAACCTGTCTAATGCTTTGGTGTCATCCATCTTGAAATGCTTACTAAATTGTGAACAAGGAGTCCCATATCTTCATTTTGTACCGGGCATTGCAAATTATGTAGCCAGTCCTGGTCATGTTAACATGTAAACATCTCATGTGAACCCCAGTTTGTGTGTGTGTGTGTGTGTGTGTGTGTGTGTGTGTGTGTGTGGAAAATAAGCAAGGAAGTTATTGAAATCCCTCTTTTTTAAAAAAGAAATCTTAACTTCCATATATTCTGGGTATAGGCTGCTAAACAGGGATAACTTATCTTCCTCTCTGGATTGAAAAGATAAAAATCAGCAAAGTCAGCTCAGAAATAACCATTTGTGTATATATGGTCAATGGATCTTCCACACGGGTGCCGAGACCCACTCCATGGGGAAAGGACAGTACCATCAACAAATGGTGTTAGAAAAACTGGATTACCTACACCCAAAAGAATGAAATTGGACCCTTATCTTATACCACATACAAAAATTGGCTCTAATCTCTGCCTTTAAGTGGTTCATTACCTAGTAAAAGATAAAGGCAAATATGCAGACTATTATTATACATCTAAGTGGATGAAAACATAAAAGTAAGACCTAAAACTATAAAACTCCTAGAAGAAAACATAGGAGAAAAGCTTTCATGATATTAGACTCAGCAATGATTTCTTGGATATGACACCAAAAGCACAAGCAAAAAAGCAAAAACAAGACAAATGGTACAAACTTAAAACTCAAACAAAAACTTTCGAGTATCAAAAAATATAATCAACAGAGTGCAAGGCAATTTATAAAATAGGAGAAAATTGTGGAGAGTGGCTACAGCATTCAGACAGGATCAAGCCTCAGACTGACTTGTGGCAAAGCCACATACAAGTCCCAGCCTGGAGGGCAAAGCCCTCCCAGCACAGTTATAGCCAAAAAGCTATGGTTATAAGCTTGACCTTACAGTCGACCCTGCAGTTCCTGGTAGCTAAGGGATGTGGGCTGAGGGAGGTACAACAATGCTGCCTAAACAAAGCTTGATAGAGTTCAGAGAATGGCAACAACAGGAAAGAAGCAGATTTGAAATTCGCAAGAACACTGTAAACATCTTGCCCTTGTTTTGCTTTGTGTGATCTGACTATAAAATAAAGACTCGCTTACAGGCTGTGTGACTGTGTCCTCATACAGGCACAGTGATCCACCTGGCCCCAACTGTATTCTCTTGTCTATTTTCTTTAATCCTTCACCGCCCCTCCTCAAGTTTATCACTGGCCATGCTGGACGCAGTTTAGAAAATATTTGCAAATCATATATCTGATAAGGGCTAATATCCAGAATATATAAAGAAGACATACCTACAGCTCAAGAAGAAAAAAATCAAATAACTCAATTTATGAAAAGCCAACAAGCAAATGAAAAATGAGAGAAGTGCAAATCAAAACCACAGTGAAATGTCACTTCATATTCATTAGGATGGCTTCTATCAAAAACAAAAAAACAACAACAAAATAACAAGTGTTGGCGAGGATGTGGAGAAACTGGAACTGCTGTGCACTGCTGGTGGAATTATAAAATGGCACAACTGCTGTGGAAAACAGGATGGTGGTTCCTCACAAAATTTAAAAAAGAGCTGCTGGGTAAATATCCAAAAGATTTGAAAGCAGGGACTCAAAGAGGTATTTGCACAACCCATTTTCATATCAGCAACTATTCACAGTAGCCAAGAGGTGGAAACAATCTAAATGTTCATCAACAGATGAATGGATAAACAAAACGTGGTATATACACATACAACAGAATATTATGCAGCCTTAAAAAGGAAGGAAATCCTTTTATATCCTATAAAATGAATGAACCTTGAAGGCATTATGCTGAGTAAAATAAGCCAGTCACAAAAATACAAATACTGTATGATTCTACTTATATGAGGCATCTAAAGTAGTCAAATGAAAGTAGAATGGTGGTTACCAGGGGCTGGGGAGGGAAAGGGGAGTTGTTTAATGGGTCTGGTGTTTCGCATTTGTCAGATGACAATGTTCTGGAGATCAGTTTCACATCAATGTACAGAAACTTACTACTAAGGTATACAGTTTAAAATTATTAGGATGGTAAATTTTATGTTATGTGCTTTTAACACACACACACACACACACACACACACACACACACACACACACACAAAACACACACACAGCCAAGTCAGCAAACTAATTATATTCTTTGTAGCATAACTCTGTGCTAAAGTAACCTCATAGAGGACATATGGACAAAATAAGTGTTAAGATATAAAAATAGGGTTGGGGAGCAGGAGGGAGGGGGGTAAGAGATCAACCGAAGGACTTGTATGCATGCATATAAGTATAACCAATGGACATAAGACACTGGGGGTTAGGGGAGGCCAGGGGATTGTCAAGGGCGGGGGAAAAAAAGGACACATATGTAATATCCTTTGTAATACTTTAAGCAATAAAACAATTTTTAAAAAAAAGATATAAAAATATTTTATGCTCAGAAAACTTTGTTACCTGCAACAAATCCAACCACCAGATCTTTTCCAGTAGTAGAATGTTGACCTTTGACCCAGACTGTTTTGAGGCTATTAAAAGTGTAGAAATAGACAAAATTGGAGCAGCAGAGACTGGAGATAACTGGAAACCATCCTCGATATGGGGCCAGGCTAGGGAAAAAACAATAAGTAAAATAAAGATGATGGACAAAAGCCACTAGAAATGAGTTAAGTCCTAGGAAAGGCTGATTATCATTCACATAATTTCAAAGTTCACTCCTACACTACAATGTACTTTACATTATACACATCTTACATTTTGAAGGATGCCCAAACCAAGAAATCTTTTCTAGCACCAATGACACCAAAGAAACAATAAACTTTCAATGGCTTATTTACTGCTTTCTTTTAGTAATACTAAAGATAATTTCTTCATGGCTGTTAGCTAATACAGCATCATTCACATTTTATTACAGGGCAATAATATTTAAAATAAAGTAAATATAGAATATAAGTGCAAAAGAAGTGGTGGGGCCTATTATAAGAGTACAGGAACCAGACTAAGGGATTCGCACTGGTCAAACCTGGAACAATTTGAGCACCAAAATAATAAAGTATAGTAATCAATTGTAAATCACTAGTAAAACAGAAATTTCTGAGTCTATATTGGTATTAACTAAAGTAACTGCTCAGAGAGTGCTTATAATTGCAACAGAGGAAACATAAAATTATTCAGTGGCTAACTCGAATCTAAAAAAATCATGATTAGCCCAGCCGGTGTGGTTCAGTAGTTGATCACTGACCTCTGAACCAGGAGGTCAGAGTTAGAATCCCGGTCAGGGCACATGCCCCAGCTTCAGGCTGGATCATGATCCTCAGTAGGGGATGGGTAGGAGGCAGTCAATAAATGATTCTTACCATATTTTTAAAAAATCATGAATAACTAATAAAGATGAGGCGCAGAATACATAGCCTCATCTAATCATGAAGAAACATGAGGCAGACTTAAAATAAGCAGCATTTTATTTTTTAAAAGTGGGAGGAAGACTGACTATATTCTTTAAAAGAGTCAACGGCAGCCCTGTGTGACTTGGTTGAGTGTCACCCTGTGCACCGAAAGGTCTCCAGTTCAATTCCCAGTCAGAGCACATGCCTGGGTTACTGGCTTGATCCCCAGTGGGGGTACATGTAGGAAGCAACCATCGATCCATGTTTCTCTCTTACATCGATGTTTCTCTCTCCCTCCCTTCCTCTCTCTTTAAAAATCAATAAAAACATATTGAAAAAAACTTTAAAAAAAGTCAATGTCATAAAGGTAAAGTGTTTTGATGTATGAAACTTATTCTAAAATAATTTGAAAAAAATCTGTGTATGGTGTGTGTGGTACAGAGAGAAAAGGAAGGAGAGAGGAAAGGAGGAAAGAATGCATGAGCCAATGACAAAAAAAAAAAAGTATTAACAATAGGTGAATCTGGGTAAAGCACATACTAGTAATCAAGTTTTGCAACTTTTTGTAAATTTGAAATTATTTCCAAATAAAAAGTTAAAAGTAGTACATAACCTAGATGCACCTGATAGGAATAAACTACACAACTATTACCTTCTTCAGTTTACTGTACAAAAAACAAAATATTGATTTCATGGAAGACTCTACAATCAAGATTCAAAATGGCAAACCACAGGACTTGTACTTACCAGTCAGGTAATTACAAATTCACACTACAAGGCTATGAGAACGCACAGAAAGGAGTGTAGGCTGTGAATCTCCTAGGGAGGTGCTTTTCTAACAAAGATGAAGGTGGTAGTACTCACAGGCCTTCTTCTTTAATGATCTCCAGGAGCACCATGTGTGTAGTTTTGGACTTTCTTTTCTCATCAACTACAAGAGGAAAAATATGTCTGTTATTCATGGATCATAGCATTTTAATTCAATACCTAATACCCAAAGTAAAAGATGTGACAAAAGAAATTTATTTCTTGGGGGGCGGCAGGGGTAGGTTGAAAGGGTTTAATGCGGGGGGGAGGGGTAGGGAGGGGATATCTGTAATATTTTCAATAAAGATAACATTTTAAAAAAGAAATTTATTTCTTATATTCATAAGGCTCTCTTGTCCCCCTCCCCACCCAAAGTTACATATTCTCATTTTTATCTTAACATCTTATAGAGAGGAAATAAACTATCATCTCCCTTTTAGAGAAAAGGCTGTAGAAACAAAAGCTGTGAAGGACACGTGATTGGTAGCAAAGTCAGTATTAAAACTCAAGCTTCCAAAAAAAGAAAAAAAAACACCTCAAGTTTCCAGCTCTGACCAGTGTTGCTCAGTTGTTTGGGCATCATCCAGTGCACTGAAATATTGCCGGTTCGATTCCTAGGCAGGGCACATGCCCAGGTTGCCAGCTTGATCCCTGGTAGAGGGTGTGCTAAGAGGCAGCCCATCGATGGCTCATTCTCACGTCAATCTTTCTCCCTCTTACTCTTCCTTCCTCTCTCTCTCAAAATCAATTAAAAAAAAAAAACAACCCTCAAGTTTCCAAACTTTTAGCCTTGTTGTGCTCTCTCCCTTCCACTCTCTCTAAAAATCAATGGAGAAAATATCCTCGGGTGAGGATGAACAAAAACAACAACAAAAAATAATTAAATTGGTACCTATATGGCGTATATGATAGCAAATTAGGAAACCTATATAGAAGGAATCTGGCAATAGCTATCAAAATTAAAAACACATTTACCCTTTGATCAGCAATCCCACTTCTAGGAATTTATTTCATAGTATTTACAGAAACAGTGGCATATGAATAAATCTATTCTACAAAAGAACCAACCAACCCAAGAATCTCCAATTGGGGGTGGGGCGGGGGGGGTAGTAAATAGGTTATGGTATATCCACACCATGGATCATTCTACAGTTAGAAGAGGCTCCCAATGTACTGATTTGGAAGGTATCCAAAATATGCTGCTAAATGAAAAATGCAAGGCACAGAACTATGGGAAAAGTATGCTTTTGGCATAAGGAAGAAAAGAATATATATTCTTATTTGCTTGTTACTCCATAAAGAAACTCTGCAAAACTATTTGAGAAACTAATAAGGACATTATCTGCAGGGAAGAAAAAAAGGAAAAGGGGGGAAGACTAAAGTGAAATTTTTCACTGTACTGTATATATTTTTAATATTTGTTTTTTGAGTTGAGTCTGATGAAATTATTATCTATCCTACGACTCTAAAATTAATTAAAAATAGTAGTCATGAAGGGTTATAACATAGGAATTAGTTTATTCAAAACTCATCTGACACTTATCTCTTCATATACATTTTGGCATAGGTTTGGGTACTTGGCTCCACTATGTTTCCTATTCTCTCTTCTCTTTTGAGAAAATCCATCCCCAGCAAAAACTCTCCACTGTGCCTTTTAAAAGTCATATTATTTATTAGAAATAATTGCAATGATTCAAAACTATGAATGCAAGCCCAACCAGGTTGTCTCAGAATAGAAAATGGCTGAGGCTATGACTGACCCATGAACCTCTCTCAATTAATTAGGAAATAGCAATGATGATGAGTATTTAAAGTGTCAGTGAAAATGGACAATGGATCTCTAATGAAACAGAATATCTTTGTGTTATTTTAGTTAGAAATAATTGCAATGATTCAAAACTATGAATGCAAGCCCAACCAGGTTGTCTCAGAATAGAAAATGGCTGAGGCTATGACTGACCCATGAACCTCTCTCAATTAATTAGGAAATAGCAATGATGATGAGTATTTAAAGTGTCAGTGAAAATGGACAATGGATCTCTAATGAAACAGAATATCTTTGTGTTATTTTAGAACTTACTAGAAAAATACGATTGCTTCCTGACTCTACAAAAGATACTCACCTTGAAGTCGAAGTCGAGCTGTATCCAAAGGAAAAAACACTGTCATTGCTGTCACGCTGCCCTGAAACATTTAAAAAGGCTTTAGGCATTACACATCACAAGGCAATGAGCCATAACTTTTAAAGGAACAAAAGTTCACTATTAACAATGGGTCAAATTAGGTTTTCAGTGAACAAATACATGCAACATTTTAACCTATTGGGATTATTATTGTTCACACTTCTATAGTTATGTACCTAAACAGAAGTATTACATTTTCTGGAAGAAATATATTTCTATCTCTCTGATATTGAAATA